GGGGGAGTGGCTGGAGCGCGGCGGCCACACACCTCGGTGTGAAGCAGAGATCGCGCGATGGAGCGGGTCGCCTCCTCGCAGGCGTCCGTCAGTTGCTGTTGCAGCCCGCGCGCAGTGATCTTGTACACAAAGTCTGGACACGAAAGGTGGGAAGATGGTGGTGGACAGGTGGGAAGTAGGTGTACAGCGAGGCTTAGGCGGGAAAATCACCGTAGACGTGGTTTGAGTCCTCTCCCTTGTCGGTGTCGCCCATAACGCTGCGGCCACGGGCATGCGGGTAAGAGGATGCACAGACACCGGAGTGTGTGCGCCCCCGAGCCAACGGGTGTCAGCGGCAGTCGGTCTTTCGAGTCAGAGCGGGGCGGGCGAGCATGGACACACACCGGAATACGACGGCGAGGTTGATCTGTACGGTCACGTTATCCTGTGTCTTGCAGCCCTTCACGGGCATGTTGAAGACGACGTGCTCCTTGCTCACCAGGCTGTCGCATTTCATCCACGGCATCCCGCAGTGGCGGCCCGGAGGCCACACGATTTCGCCCGAGGAGTGGTTCATGATGCGGCCAAAGCTCGAGACGAGCGCATAGCAGCCCTCTGGCACCTGAGGACAAAACGCGGGCGGCAACGCGGGTTGTCGGTCTGCTCGAGTGGACAGCGCTGCTTGAAAGCTATGTGCTCGAGCGGAACCAGCACAGAATTCATCAGTGCGGCACTGCAGGGCTGTTGCGGGCCGTGCAAAGTGGGCGGTGCGCGGAGTCCACCTCGAACCATGGGAGAAGGCATGAGCGGCCTGGCCGCACAATCAACAGTCCTTTCTCCCTCCCGAATATCTCCAACGCCCCCGCGGTGCTCCCGATGTCCGTGCTGAACAGCGTGGTCATCGCGCGAAGGTGCCAAAGGTCAGTGTGAGGCTGGCCGGCGGCGCTGGGAAGCGGCCGCCGAGCGGGCCGGCTGCTGGCGCTGGACGCGACGGTCCGTCGGAGGATCCTAAGGATATCGGCCCCTCCCCGTGTTTCCTGTCTTGGACGGTTCCGCTGTCGGCCTGTCGCCACTATGCACACGCAGGGCTCGTACGGTCAGGATCAGGGCGCCTTCAATGGTGTGCAACACAGCCAGTGCGTGCAGCGCAGGATTTTGCTCCCCACTGGCGCTGCAGAGGCGTTCAACCGCGTTGACGACATGTGTTAGTGCTAGTGCGCGCCAGTGCCCGAGTTGTGCTCTAAATTCGCCCGCGTAAATTCTTTATCGGTGTACCTGTGTTAGTGCCAGTGCGCGCCAGTCCCGTGTGCGAGTTTGTAAAATTCTTTATCGCCCCCTTCATTGTACCCTGAAAAGGATATCCACCTCGAGTAACTGACGGATCCGCTCCTGACAGTCGCACGCGCCGCGCCGCGGCGCGTGCGACTGGCGTTGTTTGAAGTTAAAAGTCGAATCAGAGCGCCGGCGGCGCTGATCCTCGTTTTCCTCCCACGGACCGCTATCAGCGCTTCAAGAATTCTTATTTTTGCACCCTCCACTTCATTCGGGCTCGCTGTCCAGGCCAGGCTGTCAGGCCAGACGTCGGGCGGCCCACACCACTCGACAGCCCCAGATGTGCCTCAGCCGGTCCGCCAGCGAGCGCTCTCTCGTCCAGAACGAGCAGAGCAGCAGCAGCAGCCTCGCGGCGTCGCCAGCGCACGCCAAGGCGGCTGCAGCCGCGTCTGCGGTCGAGGCCCAGCTGCGGCAGCGTGCGCACGCGGCCGCGCCAGAGGCGGCGCGGCAGGCCGCACGCCAGTCGCCGCTCCGCCGCGCGCGCGATGAGTCGTCGGACGACGGCTGGCCCAGCGCAACCTTTGACACTAGCCGCTGGCGCTGGCGCGAGTTTGCGCTCATCTACGGTGCGTACATGACGCTGCTGCTCGCGCGCAAAAACTACGGCTTCTGGCTGCCATCGGTGCTGTCTGAGCTTGGCGCGGGCAAGGGTGAGGCCGGGATGCTCGGGTCCACCTTTGAGATCGCGTACGGCTCCTGCGCGCTGCTGAATGGCATCTTGATCGACCTCGTGCCTCCAAAGGCGCGCGGCGCGCCGCCGCCGCCGCTCGCTCGCCGCCACCATCCCCGCCGCCCCTGCCGCTGTTCCGCCGCCACCCCGCCGCGCCGCCGCCGCCGCCGCCGCGCAGCATCACGCAAATGCGCCGCTGGCTGGGCGCCCTGCGCAACGGGGGCCGTTCCCTCGCCGCGCCCACGCTTGCCACCAGCCGCGCCGCACCGGCTCACTTGCCGCGCGCGTCCTCGGCTGCAGGCACTCTTGGTGGGCGCGCTGCTCACTTCTGCGGGCGTCAACGTCGCGCTCGGCTCGGCAGGCTCGCTCGGGATGATGGCGCTTCTCTGGGGCAGCAATGGCGTGGCGCAGGTGCATGCCACCCTCGCCGCGTCTGCCGCTG